ATATATATATATATATATATATATATATATATATATATATATATATATATATATATATATATATACTAAGCATGAAATATTTTGCAAGAAACTCTTTTACTTTTAATTATTTCTCTTTTTAAAAATTAGAATGTAACTTTCTTTCTTTAATGATTTTTATATAGATTTAATTGATTTTATAAATTTCGATTTCTATGTTTTTCATCTTAAATATTTTTCTATCGATTATATGTCTCGTCAAATTTTTTTTTAAAAAATTTCTCCATTTTTCAATTATTATTTTTCTTTAGTGATGTGCACAATTCTATTCAAGTTTAATAATGTGGACAGCTAACTTTGGTCATCCAATCTATGATTAAATGTAAATAGTATACTATAACTGTAACCTGAAGTAAATGGATCAAGTTTGGCTTGTATTACTACTTCAGCTACCATTCCTGAAGCCGATTTCCATCCGGAGGAAATGTCCGTCATGTATCCGTTACAGACAATTTGAGCAGAAGGTATCCATCTTTTTTAATGAGAAATGATACATAAAATTTGGATTCCTCAATCGCCATAATGAAATTTAAGTTTCCTTGCTGGTATAGTATGGCCGGAAGGGTTTCAAATTTCTTTATATGCTGAAAATTTTTTTCGTTCTTGTCCACAACTTATTAGATTTGAAAAGTCTAAAAAGTCCAAATTGCAATTTTTTCATAATCGATTTATGCAAATATAACGTAAAAGTGACGTGAAAATTTCATGTTACGTGTTCGTTATAAGTAATGGTTATTTTCAAATTTATTTATGAAATATTTTAAATTAAAATGAAATTATAATTTCAATTACAGACGATTGAACAATGTCCGTGCGTGAAACCGCCTGGTAGTAATGAATGCTTATCATATGATAATCGCCTGCAAGCTGCTAATATTGACGAAGCCTTGCACACATTTCCGGATCTATCCAGCATGGCAGAAAATGCACTACCGCTAGTACCGGACGAGAGTAATATCATGATGAAATCCTTTTCGGAATTTTCGCTTTCACAAAAAACGGTAGCAAAATAAATTTTGGTATTATTATTATGCAATATACAGCAAGAGAAAGAGAGTGAACTTGATCTACACATTTGGTGAGATACGTGATTAAAGGTAGCATTATTGATTGACTGGATAATTAATAATAATTAGTATTAAATGGTTTACTTTGCTCAATTTGTTGTATCATTTTTTCTCACTTTCCTTTTACCAAATGAAATTATTTTTAATTATATTATTTCAGGCGTTATGATAGAATAAAGAAGGTTGTTTAGAGTGCGTTGAATGATTAACGGATTAAATTTAAATGAAATTTCAGACCTATAAAACTCCGAAGATGTATAAATGCGATGGAAAAGAATGTCAATCGTGCAAACTTCTAATCATTAATGCATTCCTCCGAGCAAGTGATAATGATTTCCCGACAGATAGCAGTACTGTTACTGAACTGCCTAGTGATACCGATGAATCATTGTGTATGAAAAATCGGTCTATACCGCGAAATGCAGTGAATTTTCATCTGTTCAACAAATTAAATATGATCAAAAGTTTTTAAAAAGAAAAAGGAGAGAGAAAAGAAAAACAATGCGCTGTATAATCAATCACATCAATCAGGAACAATCAATTAATCAATGATATTAGTTGATTAATTAAGAAAGTTTTTTGGATGGCTTATAAAAACATTTATTAAATTCTACAATTAATGCTTTTTTTCCTACAAAATTTCAGTTAATTTTGAAGATCACTTCAAATGTGAAAAGTTGTTCTTTTTTTGAAAACTTACTAAAGATCGACAAATCATTCATAAAAAAGTAATTGGAATATGTTGACAGATTAATGAAGGAATCGAGAATGCTACTATAATTAAAGAACTGCCAACTCATATGGAAGAGTTCATTAGTATGTTGAGGCCAAAAACACGAAAACGAAGGAATTGGAAAGAATCGAAGCAAAAATGCAAGTAATTTATTAATAATTAACAAATAATTTCCCTTTCTTTTTACCCTAGGGGGGAATACTTTTCTTTTATGTTAATTATCTGAGGTTTTTTTTTTTTTTCTTCTCTAAATGACTACTTTAGTTATCAGGCAGAAAGTAAGAGAATGATGGAATGATGAGCTTCTCTGAGAGATTGCCTTTGTAAAAGTTCTATTTTTGGTTAATAATTATCATATCATAGCATTTAATTTAACAAAATGAATTAATTACTGCTTAAAAAGACGTATCAATTTAATAGTATATGCTTGATAAAACCAAATAATTGGGACACTTAATCGGAAGTACAAAACAGCAATCGAATATTATTGTCATTGCAGCTTTTTTCTAGTCTTAATTCGTTTTATTTTTGCATTATTTCAAATATTGAATAATTTTTGTATGAAATTATGCAATAATAGAAAAAAATTGATGTTTTTTCACTTGAAGAAAATTTGATGAAATTTTGAAATACAAAAAAATTCATTTAGTTTTATAATATTTAATTGATATTAGTGAAGTGAGATTGTTTCATTTTTTTTTTTTAATTGTAGTGTTGGGTGTACCAATAACGATCAACTGTAATTATAAAAAGGGTGAGGAAATTGTACAAGGTTGGACCGGATTGTGTAATCTATGTTGGCAATGGAGAAAACTACCAGCTGATTATTTTCCGGTTTTGCTCAATGAAGTTTCTTGTGATACTAGTGATGAGGGATGTCTCTCAGGTCCCATATTTTTTTGCTTTTTGCTTTTTTTTTTTCTCCCAACAATATTCAATTATATGTGAAAAATAAGCGAGAAATTTTACAAATAGACAATTTAAAATTTAATCCTTTGAAATTCAGTCCGTTTTTTTGTTTATTAATTCATCTTTCGCTTTCTTTTCATATTTCATAAATTATTGATAACGTGATGTTAACCAGGAATTTAATTAACTCATAGTTGATTTTTTTTATTACTTTTACAAGAAATTTTGAAACAAAAAAAATTTTTGAAAAAAAAAGTTCCTTTTGAGTTAACAAGTTGGATTTAATAACTTGTCAAAGTTCAAATCTCGATAATCTAGAAAAATATAACAAGCTGTCATTGGTATGATTGATATTTCTCAATTTAAAATTCATTTAAGCTTAACTCTTGTCTTAATATTTATACATTCTTTCGATGTCCAAAAATGATTTCATCATTTTTTATCAACATTTATCAGAATTTCAGGTTTTGGTAACTGTCGCCCGGTAATGCGTAACATAAATGTTCTCCGCAATGCGGGAACACATAAATCTCCCCGATGGGTACAGGAGTCAATCAATACAATATCAGCTTGTGAATGTCAAGTGGAGATCGGAACTCCATTACATTCACTTGTTTTACGTTAAATTTTTTCATTTTTCATTTCTTTTTTTCTTTGATTTTTTGTTTGTCTATTAAATTTTGTATTTTTATTGAAAATTTTGTGAATGCACTTCTTGAACTCTAATTAAAACTTTCTTTAATTAAAAATTTTTGTTTTTTTTTTGCATTGATTTTAGATATTATTATCAAAATTGTATATGAATATAATTCTCCGATCATTACAATGCATGTTATCAATGTTTTACGACAAATGCTTTATATGGTAATTTAAATATAGTAAATAGCCATCCTTTGACTCTTGAATATGTTTGATTCATCTATTTGCTTTTAATCTATGAAATGAATTATAGTCAATATATTAGTTCATTGCGCTTATCATTTTTTAGTTTTTTTTGTTCCAACATGAGAATAATTTAAATTATGAAATATAAAACCTATTTGATAAAATCTTTTATATGTATATATTTTTAGTGATATCTAAGAGGGAACGCATAATTTGCTTGTCAACATTGTTTTAATTACTCCATTTCTATTGATATTTTATTTCTATCGTCTTTACTATTTTGCCGGTATATTTTACCTTTATGCTATCAAAATATCTGGACGATATTCAAGGTTAAAGATTTTTGAAAAAAATTGCTTGAATATGATTTCCATTGAAAATTTCATTTTTTTTTGAATTTTGATCTATTTATTAAATTTAAGATAATAAATCTTGAAGTAAGTAGTTTTATCCCCAAGGCGATAAAATTTGATTAATTAAAAGGAAAAAAATTCTGACATTTATTTTTTTAACATATATTTTGAAATGTAAAAAAAACGATACGCTTAAATTTTTTTTGCCATGGTCTGAATTTCCAATTTGATTTAAATATTTGAAACTGATTTCGGAATGCTGCTTGTCGTTATAAATTTCAATTGTTTTAATTTTAATTTTGTTTTCAAATTTTAATAGTTTCGAGGACAAAGAAATTACCAACTAGGATAAGAACTATTCAACAAAAATTTTCTCACACTCTGTGGTAATTACAGTTGTAATTACAAATTTTTAATTTCATAGTCGAAAATTAAACTTTCATTTTCACATTTTTTTGAAAGATTTATAACGATGAAATGACGCTTTTGTCATTTAATCGTTTGTGATAACTTTTTTAGGTTTTAAACTGAAAATATTGAATATCAGGAATTGGAGAGATAAGTAATTATTATGGCATAGAAGCAGTGAGGTTAAAAAACAGTGAAAAAATAGGGCCGTTTTTTAAATTTTCTTATCATAAATGTGCCAAAACTGTTGTAATCAATATTTGAAAAATTTATATCCGAAAAAAGAGAAATAAAGTAAATATTTTTTCTTTTATTTCAGCAAATTGCTTTGCAAAAAAAAAATTAGGCAATTAAGAAAAAAAAATTAGGCATTTAATATGGGATTTTACAAATTAAAAGATTAAATTTTTTATGTTTTATTCTACAAATAACACGAACATGTGTGTATATTCTATCTTTTGCGTAATTCAATTTAAATTTTCCAAAATCAATTCGTTAATTAAAATTCACATTGTCAAGTTTTTCTCATTTTATCATATTCCCATGTGACAGTTTCTTTTTTGTTAACAAGATGATTTGAAAACAAATAAGAAAGCTGAGGATGTCAGTCTTTAGTTTGTTGGCAAAACTTAAATTTAATTCAAATAGACTATTGAAGAAAAGAAACAAAAAAAGCAAAAAAGAATTTTGGTTATGTTTTTCACATCACAGTTTAAGCACAAAAATTATTTGAAATGGGGAAGGAAAGAGAGAAAGAAGGAAACTGATTCTTCCGAATTCTATCATATATACCGGATTTGATGACGGAATTGATTCAGGAAATTCGTCAAAATGTCGAATCTGTTTTGTTCTATTGTTGTTGTTATTCATTAATTCCTCAGTTCATTTTGAAAAATGTCCCATCTGTAAAAATTTAAATTTTGAAACGGAAATTATTAACAGATTTCGAATGATGCAAATAAATGAAATTGTATAAATCAAATTTCAAATAATTTCATAAAATTGCGAAAAAGAAGGAAGGACCTAGGATGAAATCCATTTTGGATAGTATCCGACATTTTCGATATATAAACATCATCGGGAATTGGAACTTGATCCTCATCACGAATCATGATTGGCCAACCGCTGATGATATAACTATGGAATAATTAAGTATATGATTAATTATATACTTCATTTTTCGTCTTCTCATGAGTTATTTGATACTTAATCGACCATAACGTAAAGCATCTTTACTTATTCATTTAGTTATTTCTTCATTTATTTGTTTAATTCTTTATCTGTTGCTGTTTGACACTTGAAAAATTCAATAAAATTTTTGATTCATTCATTCAATTCTGTTATTTAATGACATTGCAAATAGCGTGAAACAGCAAAATATTCAAATTTTTATGCAAATAACTTTTGTATGTAAATAAAACCATTAAAAGAATTCAAAGATACGACACAGTAAATGTGCGAAAAGTTATTATTTATCTGTTCTGATATAAAATTTTATAACGAATGTATGCGAAAAAAGATGTCTACAAATGCAGCAAGTATATAAGTAAATAAACAAAAAATTTAATAAATTGATAAAGATTTAATAAATTGATAAAAATTTAATAAATTGATATTGAACAAATAAATGAAGAAAAGAGGACTAAATGAATAAATAATAAATAAATGAGTAAACAAAATAAATAAATAAATAAATAGATAAACAAATAAATAAATAAATATACTCTAAGTCGTAAATGATATAAAAATGAACAATATAAATATAAATAATAAAAATATAAATGTCTTCCCATATTTGGCTTATTTTTTAGTACAACAATTTTTTCATACATTCGACATGAAAACAAAAAAGCGTTCGTTTACAAAATACTTTCTGTTAATTGGTCGACCTATTTTTGTGTTATTGCTGCAAAATCTTCATGATTTTCAAATTTGCGTAGACAATAAGCGAAGTATAATTAATTGATAAACTTACGGCCTGAAATGATAAGCCGATGATAACATTATTACCGCGCAAAGGACAGATAACTTTAACAGATGCGTGGCTCGCATTGCTGATAACTTATATTTCTGCAAAATTAATTATTTAATTTAATATTTAGTTTGCTAATTGAATTAATCGAATCAAACCGAATTGGATCATTAGTCTATTAAGCAGTATAGGTAAGAGCAAAAATAACTGAAAAATGATGATTGAATGATGAGTGAAAAAGTTGTTTAAGATTTTGTAATTCTTCGGTTTATTAAATAGGGTTTAATTGAAAATGGAATAAGTTCGAAAAAAAATCAGAAACCAATTTTAATCCTAACAGTGGATCAGTGATAAAACGAATAAGTGTCATTCACATTCCATGATAATTAGTTGACGAAACCCAAAGTTTTCCCTTTTTCCTCTATTTATTCAAGAACTGAGACAGCAATCAATACAGTTTTGGAAATATCCGAAAATATGGAATACATCGGGAAATATTTCATTATTGCTGGTGTTTGGTCAATGATAAACAGATAAGCACGTTGATGAGTGCAAAAAAAAAAAAGAAAAAGAAATTGTAAATCTCAATGTACGACTCAGTGAATTCAGATTAATTCGATTTTCAAGTAAAAGTCGATAAAACTAAATCCCCGATTTTGGTTAGCTATGGTTAGTTCAGTTAAATTTATTTCACATTATTCCTATAAGTATAACAGCAAATAATGCGACATCAAGGACTGGAACTGCAGCTGACTTTTCCGAATGGTTAAGGAAGTATGAAATATTAGAGATATTCGAATTTAATTAATTTAATTTCCTAACTGAGCAGTTAACAAATTGTCAATCACAAAATATCGAGCATATTTAAATGTTTTCCACCCAGTTTTTCTGTGATTTACAGTGAATTTTTTAAGAGAATGAAAAATTTACCATTGAAAATTAAAAGTTCTAAAAAAATATATTATCAAATATATATTAACATATTTGTTCATCGAGATAATTACATTTAAATGAACGATGCCTTATATGTTATTTTAATTGAATGAATTTTGAATTAATTAAAAAATGATTTGCAAATAGTAAAATGAATAAAAATATTGTAAAAACGAGAGAAAAGAAAATTATTTCGTACAAAATTGAGAAAGATTTGAATAAAAATCCATTAATAACAAATTTATATATTTGCTATTTCATTTGGAATTTGCAAGGAAGTGTTTAAAACTTTCAAACTTCACAACCATTATTAACATAAGCAAAATTACATATTTCAGTAAAAATTTTTGCTTTCCGTTTTTTTCTCTCAGAATTGCGAGTAAATAAAAGAAGGAATTTTTTTAGTTCAAAAAATGTTATTTATCAAATCTGATAAATTTTTTAAAATTTAAAAATAGCACTTTTTATACCGATGAAAGAAAAAAAGACATTATTTGACGAAATGAAGAGAGGCTGAATAAATTCCACAAAATATACAAATATGCAAAATGTAGAATGGAGAGAATGAAAAAGAATAATTCAAACCTTTAAAGTAATTGACAATTAATAGTGATATATAGATAAGGTATGTCTGTAATGTGTGTTATGTGTGTGTGTGTGTGTGTGTGTGTGTATGTGTGTGTATGTGCGTGTGTGTGTACGTGTGTGGTGTAATTAAGAAATATTCATTGTTTAATTAAGGAAAATATTTTGCTAAATGCTATAGAAGAAATTGAACTGTCAAAAACGAACTTGGGATGTGGATTTTTCGTCCTTTTATCATTACTATCATCATATCATATTTCTGATAGGGATGAGCATTTGATAATACAATATTTCACAATATGTTATTCGACATAGTCTTTCTAAATGATATTGCCATCCATCCGGTACGGTATATTTGATACGGTATTACTATGATATATATAACATAATATTACCAGGCATCTCATATGATACTACAAGGTATGGTTTTACGAGCTACCTGATATGGTATTTTTGATATGGTCCTACCAATGTGATATTCCTTATACGGTATTTTTAATATGGTATCACTAAGCATCTGATATATTACTTTTTAAAACAGTTTCACCAACTACTCCATAAGATTCTACCAATATTTCCAGTAAGATGTTACTAATAATAATACAGAATCGGATTATCACATCCGGTAAGTTTAATTATAACAGCCGAAAGCATAGAAAAAAGAAAAAGGAAATTACTGAATTATTTCATAAGGTTACAGCTTATGTGAATTACATGAATAATAAATAAATTAATAAATCCACCAGAAAATTTTGCGCATATTATTTTCTTGTCTTTTTTCCATATGGCTGAAATGAATAAGCTTCAACATATCCATTAAATATCTGCCTATCTATCTATCTATCTATCTATCTACCCATCAATCAGTCAATCTATCTATCTCCTGATCAGTCTACTTATATATTTATCTATCGACCAGTCTATCTATCCAAAAAAAAACAATTATCATACAATCCTATCAAACCTCAAGATTCTTTTTAATGCTTAAATGCCGAAAAGTCTTGGACAAATTTTTCATTTCCATCTCCAATCTTTTCATCTTCCACAGACTCTTCTTTCTTTTTCATCCTATCCATTTTTCCATTTCTTATTTACTTATTTTTACATTTTAAACATATGCTTTCCTTTCCCTGTCCCCTGTCCCCCGCCTCTCACGTCTTACTCTTTCAAATCAGTCAATTTTTGATCATCCCTTTTATCATATCTTTTTCGCTTCAATAGTTTCCTTTTCCCTCTTCTCCCTTCCGCTACTAAAATCAATGCACTTATACTGAAAGCTTTAGAATGATTGAGGCGCAATGGGGCAGCGCAACAAAGAAGAAGCGGGTAGAGTGAAGAAAAAAAGAATAAAATAAAATAAAAATAAGATTAGATGGGAAATTATTTGGACTCCCTTCTACTTGTTCATTATTTCTCCTCGTATGCCTTCTTCTCATTTCTACTTAATAGGCTTTTATTGATTATTTCAGAACTTTGCTTAAGCCTATAATCTATAAGGTTCTTATCGATTTTTTCCCCTTCTTTTTTACCATCACAAATAGCAATAACTACTACACCAACAATAACGATGAAACAACAATAGCAATAACAATAACAATAACAACAATAATGATTACATCAACAATAACAATGACAATAATAAGAGCAACAACGAATTCCATTTTTCCTTCATCTATTGATTCCACTTAAAGAATACTTCTGTCTTGTCTCTTTTCTTTTCCATTTCTTCATCTTTTGTCCTAGGCTTCCTCATTTACTCTTCTTTTAACTTCTTTCTATTTGCTTCCTTTTTATTGAAAATAACAACAAAATTGTGTGCCTTAATTTGCGAGCCTATCTAGAGTATGCCTTATTTGTCATAGTCATACTTCTACAACACCAAACATCACTTCTACTAATCGATTTTTTCAAAAAAGAAAAACAGATGGTTGAATTAACAAAACGTATGTCTTCAAAAAAAAAAAGTTGAATAAATCTGTTACGGAAAAAATGTTAATGATAATGATAATGATACTATTTCAAATATCCGATCATTTTGCAAATAAAATATCTAATCTTATTCATTCTATTCAATCGTATGGCAATCTTTTCCATTCTCAATTTCCCTTTCTCAAATATCATTTAGTAAAGGAAATTTTTAAAAAGTCCAATTTTTAGCAAAATGATTATCAAAAAAAAAAAAGAAAAAAAAGTCAAATAGATTGAATTAAAACTTTTTGGAAATATTTTATAAAAATTAAGGCAAAATGCGTACCATCTTTATGCACTAGCACTATTGTTAAAATATTTCTGTTTACGGAATGCTTTAATAGGAAAAAGGGAATTTAAAATTATTCAAAATCATTTCCAAATAATTAAACATTTGTTATTGTTAATGGTTTAATTTTTTGGTACAAACTTGAGTCAAATATCATTTGTTTATCAGTTCTATTTGAATGTATCATACTATCTGGTTTAAGTTCGGTAATAACTGGTACTTTCTAATTAATCCCGGTTTTAATATAATTAACCGATGGATACGGATATTGGAAACCGGTCGAAGTTTTGATGATATCATCCTTCTTCATCAATGAGATATAAACATTTACACATATTCCTTATTGTTCGTTCTATTTGTACATCGTTATAAATGATTGATATTTTTTAAAATCACTTCTATTTCACCCATAACCAATCAATTTATTAACTTGCAGTTTCTACTAATAATTTCAGTTTTACTCTTTGAAACAATTTCAAATTTTATTAACATATTTATTATGTTTATTGTGGTATATTTATTCAATTTCAACTTTTATTTCTCTTTCATTGTATTATTTTGTAGTGAAACAACAAATGATAATTTGAAAAGGATAAGAAAAACGAAAGGAATAAGAAATTCTATTTAAATGATAGCATAAACATAATATTATCATCAACCTCATCACTGTCATTCAATGGCAAATCTCATCTTTCTCAAATTTCATTATTGGAAAAATTGTTTACTTTTTAGGAAATTTTACGATTAAAAAATTAGCATTGACAGTGCATAGAGTCAAATGGTTAATACTAATTGCCTAATGCTAACGGAATTTTGTAAATATCAATAAATTTGAAAAATGTTGTTTAAAATGATTTTATTACTTCTACTTTTTGTTGCTTCATTATTATTATTAATATTTATACCTTCCAGACAAGTAAGTAAGCAACTAAGTAATTAAGTAAGTAAATAAGTAAGTAAGTGAACGGACGGAAAATTTTGTAAAACTTTTTAATAAGTTTTGTGAATTGTTTTAATGAAATTTTTAAACTGAAACATTTGGCAAGCTATCCACATTCTTCAATTCATTCGATATCTCTCTGTTTATTAACGCGCAAAGTTTTTTCATAGTTTTCACTTTCTCTTCATTTCCCTCCGCCCTTCTCACTTTCCCGTCTATCAGCGATTGATGGATGGGAAATGTTCAATTACACATTTCGTAACGTTTCTAAAATTTACTCTTCAAAATTTTTTCATCTCTTCATTCTTTGTCTTCAGTTATTTTGTGTACAGTCAATTATTGCAATTGCATATTTCCAAGCATTACGAAAGTTAATTCTAATCTTGTAA